GATCTCGCGGTTCGTGGGTTCGAGCCCCGCGTCGGGCTCTGTGCTGACTGCCAGCTCAGAGCCTGGAGCCTGTTTCAGTCTGTGACTCCCTCTCTCTCTGACCCTCCCCTGCTCACGCTCTCTCTACCTCTCTCTCCCAGAAATAAAACTAAATATTTAATAAAAACAACAACAGGAAAAAAAAATTAAAAGGGGGCCCGCTAATATCAANTAAGCGTCCGACTTTCGCTTAGGTCATGATCTCGCAGTTCGTGGGTTCGAGCCCCGCGTCAGGCTCTGTGCTGACTGCCAGCTCAGAGCCTGGAGCCTGCTTCAGTCTGTTACTCCCTCTCTCTCTCTGACCCTCCCCTGCTCACGCTGCCTCTCTCTCTCTCCTAGAAATAAATAAAAACATTAAAAAAATAAAAAAAATTAAAAAAAAAAAGGTAGGGCCAGGCCTGCCGTGTTCACCCTCCCAGGTCTTCCTCCCTCACTGCAGGGACCCCCGCGGCTCTGATATCATGGAGACTAATGGAGGCTTCAGGCTCCAGCACACAGGAGCCTCCCTGGTGTCTGGTTCCCCTGTGCCAACAGTAATTGAAAATCAGGTGTACACTTAATGGGCCAGGACTTATGGTGACGTTTGCATCGAAAACAAAGGACTTACAATTGACCTCTCCTTTTTCCCACTTTCCCCAGCAGTCACCATAAATTGAGCAGATTGGACATCCTGGCCATGACCGTCACTACGATCAAGGTCCCCCCAGTGCACGTCCCCACCCCTTAGTATGAGTTGCTGAGCTTTGATGAACCTCGTAACTTCTGTGTTGTAACATCTCTGTTCCCCTAAATCTGTGCTTCTCAGCCAGGGGTGATTTAGCAACCCCTGCCTCCACCAGGGGACATTTGGCAATCTGGAAACACTTCTGATTGTCACAATTGGGGAGAGGAGTGTTACCATCACTGAGCAGGTAGAAGCCAGGGCTGCTGATAACATCCTACCATGCATGGGATTTCCCCCCACTCCACACATAACAGAGAACGATCCAGGCCCGAGTGTCGGTAGCGCTGAGGGTGACCACCCTGCTAGACTTCTATGCTACTTTTAGGAAATGTATCACAAAGTGTATCTTCTAGATGATCTGTCTATTTGATTCCAACTGTGAGTTGACATGTGCCGTTTATCGTTGCAGAAGGAAAGAAGCTACCAGCACCATCCCAGAGAAATTGAGGAATGAAGGACTGGAGGAAGCTTCTAACCTGGAGATGAGGCAAAGGGCACGTGGCACCCCAGTAGATGAATGCGATGGGAAATGCCAGAGGTCCCTGAGTATCTGGGAGCACCCCCCCCCCCAAAATTCGGAGCACTCAGTCAAGCAGCTCGCGGGAAGGCTCCAGAGGAAAGGGTGATGAGAGACACGTAAAGAGAGCACTTTTGTTTCCAAACTTACAGGGAAGGGCAAAGGATTTTTTCAATGGAGCCAAACCGCACACACCTCTGTTGGGGCCCTGAAAAATGTGCCCATCAACAAGACAAAATAAAGCACGTGACTTGGCTTTTATGTGCACAGCACACTTGGCTTACCGAATGAAATGTGAAAGCTTATTTGTTTAGTGGAAATTCTCAAATAATGGTTCTGCCTGTTGCAGCAGGTAGGACGTGTAGTTTCATTGTGCCGGAGTTTTTCAACACAGGATTTCTCCGTTTGACAATATTTGAACAGATGGGGTGTGTGGCAGTTCCCTGTGACAGCAAGATGCCTGAGCGTCTTCCAGCCTGAGACTCAGATCCAAATGTGTCCCATTGGGGGCCTATATGTCTGTAGTACTTGGAGCACCCAAAGCTCTCGCCTCTTGTGTTACTTATACTCAACTGGTCTCGTTTTTGCCAGCATTTCCCCCCCTACAGTTTATTGATTGTATCAATGAGGATTGCTTTCAGCTGCAAGTAATGGGCAAACCCATCGAAGACAGGCTTACGATGTCAGGATGATCGATTAGGGCACGTGATAAGAAATGAGGAGTTGAAAGTTCCAGGGTTCTCGTGTGGCTCAGTGAGGTCACGGAGACTCTATCTCTGCTTAGGTATTTCCGACGAGTTAGATTTTCATCCTGAAACTCAACATCTCACGGTCATAAGATGGTTCTGCAGCTACAGATATGACAATGTCTATAAGAAAAGGTGATCAACGCCTACAGTGGCCAACCAGCCCCTTTGTCCAGGACTGAAGGGGGCGCCTTCCCTGGATGTCTTAGGTGGACTCAGACAAGTTGGTCACCCTCTGGTCCCCTGTTATTGGGGAAGGATATAACTCCAGGAGCCTCAGCAGTTTCCACTTACATCTTTTGGACCAGACCTAGGCCACACGCTCAACACTGGGCCAGTGACTAGAAAGAGGCCAGGGATCTGCTGTCACAATTCGCCCCTTGGGGCTGGGGGGAAGGCCTCCCCTGAAGTTGCCCAACACTTGAACAGCGTTGGGGGTTTATTTGCCAGGATAGGACTCTGCCAAAGTACTCATGAAAAATTGGAATTTTCTAATTAACCAACAGAGCAAAGTCTTAAAGACTATTCATTCATTCATTTATTGAATAAATATCTGTTGAACCCTACTGGCCTCAGTGCTGGGAATAGTCTCTATCCTGAAGCTTCCAGCCAAGTGAAGAAGTGTCTACACTGGACGCATAAGGTCAAGTGTGATGAGTAGTTGCAAGAGTCGGAGCTCTAGGGCCCGTGTAACAGGGAAGCTAACTAGTCAGGGAGGTGGTGACTATGAAGTGGGGACCTCCCAGGTGGACAGAATTTTCTAGGAGATGGGGAGGGGAGAGGGGCAGGAAAGGAAGGATAAGGGGCAGGAGAATGCCCACTTCGCAGGGGTGGGCCATCTCCCCACTCTGTGCGGGTGGGTGGGAGGTAGAGGTGGGTGGTTTATTCTGGAGGGCCCTGGAGGGCATCGGAAGGAAGCATGCAGGACACTAAAGAGGGGCCAGGTTAGGTAACTGTGTCCTAGGGTCTGCTGTGGTCTCCTCCACCCCCAGCCTGAAGGGTCTCATTGCTTCCTCCCATGCAGCAGCCTCGGCAGCAAGTCTTCCTGACAGACCAGGACCTAAAAGGATGGTTGGAAGGGTTCAAGCATGTGATCTCTGAGCATAACTAGCTATCGGAGTTGGGCGTCCTTCCCACTGTCCGGCATGACCTCTCTGTTGAGTCTTGCACAAACCATTTCTGGCTGGTAAACTGCCCTTTGGGAAACTGCAGGAATATTCCTATCAACATTTCTTCAGGACTCAACCTCTGGGAAGATTACTCATCTTATATGATCTGGCCCCAAAGAAACACATCAAGTTCTGTGTATAGTAAACCCCACCATGCCGATGGTCATCATTAGAAATGCTGCAAACTGAGTCAACTCTTTTACCAAACAAGGACAGCAGAGGAGATTTGCAAGGAGGTCCCTCTGAAAACCAGAAAGAAGGGACTCTCACTGCAAGGAGGATTTGCTTTCTTTACCTCCGGTTCTTTCCCTGTCTTAGCTGGATGTCCCCGAAGTGGACACGGGTGGTGTCACTGTGCCAGAAACACTGTGTTATCTTTTATGTGATTGTTGTTGTTGCTGTTCAACTATGATGTGTGACTCCTTTTTTTATTATTTGTTTTTTGTTTGAATGCTTTAAAAATATTTAAGTCTGTGGATCTGCTGATGTACAGTGCCTTTGTTGCGATGGATCAAATCCAAGAGAACTGTGTGGCTAAACTTAATTGTACAAGTAGAAAATTACTTAATTTCACACTAGAAATGGGTGGATGTTGCAGGTTGAAACAGACTGTCCATTGATGTTCCTGATGCAGAAGCAGGGAGAAAAAATGGTGTCTCAAGTGCTTAGTGTTTTTTTTTTTTAAATATAGTTTATTGTCAAGTTGGTTTCCATATAACACTCAGTGCTCATCCCAACAAGTGCCCTCCTCCTTCCCCGCCCCCATGGTCTTCTGTTAAGTTTCTTCTGATCCACATATGAGTGAAAACATATAGTATCTGTCTTTCTCTGCCTGGCTTTTTTCACTTAGCATAATACCCTTGAGTTCCATCCACGTTGCTACACATGGCCAAATTTCATTCTTTCTCATTGCCATGTAGTATTCCATTGTATAGATGAACCACATCTTCTTGACATTCATCAGTTGAGGCTCTTTCAAGTGTTTAGAGTTTGATGTCATTAACAGTTTCATAAAACTCTACAATGTAGAAAAGATTTTTATACTAAACTGTGCATTGTACATAATTCTAATGCATCGTATTGAACACTAGTACTTCTATGATGGTAGTTGTTTGGGCGTTCAGACTTTTAAGCATTAGTCATAAAATAACTTCTAAAAAAAATAAAAACACTGCAAACTGCAAGCCAAACCAAATACCATGCTAACAAGCACTCCCCCCCCCATACACACTTTTTAAATTAAAATGATATAAAATCTATACTCTTGGTTTCCCTGGAATATCACAGTGGAGCCTTGGCAGATCTGATCGCTGTAAGATACCAGCCAAGGAGGAAAGCCACTGAAGACCTTCCATTCTTTCTATCTGTCAAAGTGAAGGAAACAAACACAGTGCTTTTAATCAATATTTATGTAACACTCACCCAAAGCTGTACTTGCTGAAATAAAATATAACCTTTCTCTCTTTAAACACCTTTTACTTGTTATTCAAATAGGAAGTTATTCTTCCAGAATTAGCTATGTCTGTCAAGCCAGCATTCCTGAGTGCCACATATAAACTCTTACCATATCCCACCTTCTCAATAACTTTCTCTTTAGCTTAGCTTTTATTTATTTTTGACAACTCCCTGGGGTTGCCTGACAGGAGAAATCTTTAGGACTGGGGTAATATGGTTTTTACATTCAGGGCTACATTATTTTTTTATTAGTGTTTTCAACTCAGAATAAGACAGTGCGACAAACTCACGCCAAATTCAGTCCATTTTTTATTAATGGGTCCACAGACCAACATTTATTTTAAGCCTTAATGTTCCCACTTTCTTGTCTCCTTCATTGGTTTAAGAGGTGCCGTTGTGTTCTCAAATGTGTTTTTGTTGGATCGGCATAGGGTATAGCACTTTGGCAGGAAAGCATGGGTTAAGTAGATGAAAAGTCACTGGATTCTATCTGCACAAATTTCTATGCACTACTTCCATTGTTTCCTCGTGAGTTGATCAGGACAAAACGGTCTCCTTTGCACCACTGATCATGATTTACAATCCCTTATCAATGGATGGGTCTTCCAGCTTTAGGCCATGGCTGAAAAAGCCCAGATTATTTCCTTCTACATTCTGCCCCATGTCTAACCCAGTTCTCTGGCTCTTTCCTCTATAGATGGCCCTGCCTGTCATATTCTAACCCTATCATTGGAGTGGCATGAAATTGGGCAGCTTTGTGACTTCCTAACAGAATTCTACCCCTACAGCTGGGCAGGTCAGAGATTTTCGTTACTTGCCTGAGACAACATTGCACAGAGGGCCACAGACCGGGTTTGGCCAATCTAGCCTCATAAGCCCTGGGGGCTGCCCACTTGCAGCATTCTATTTGGGGTCCGTCTAGTTTAAACAGAAGCCAGGGAGTTAGAAACTGAACTCTGGAAAACCAGAGCAAATAGATTGGTGGAAGTCTTAACCCTGCATTTTCTTTTCCTTTTTTCCAAATGTTTGTTTGTTTATTTATTTACTTATTTAGAACATGAGGGAGGGAGGGGCAGAGAGAGACAGGATCCGAGGCAGGCTCTGCCTCATCAGCGCAAAGCCTGATGCAAGGTTTGAACTAACAAACCGTGAGATCATGACCTGAGCCAAAACCCAGAGTCAGACACTTAGCCAGCTATCCAGGAGCCTCCCTGTGTTATCCTTTTTTAAAAATTTGCCAACGACTTTTTGCCTGCCTCGTGGACACAACCATAGCTAGGTTCTCTTTTTTTTTTTTAATTTTTAATGTTTATTTTTGATACACACACACACACACACACACACACACACACACAGTGGGAGCAGGGGAGGGGCAGAGAAAGACAGAGACACAGAATTCAAAGCAGGCTCCAGGCTCTGAGCTGTGAGCACAGAGCCCGATGCAGGGCTCGAACTCATGAACCACGAGATCATGACCTGAGCCGAAGTCAGACACTTAACCAATTGAGCCACCCAGGGACCCCTAGGTTCTCTTAAACACCTATGTGGCCCAGGCTCTAACTAGTAGGCTCACTGTGATATTTTCCAGATCTAACTTTAAAATGTGTATTATTTATGGTACCCTGCCTTGATCCAGAAAGGGCTTAAGGCAGCTGACTGAAATATAAAATCATGAAAATCTGATTCAACTTCTTATTTGGTTAAAGACGTTCTGCTGTAAATGGAAAAAAAAAAGTTTTGAAATCCTCTTTTTCATTATAAGGTGATTACCTTATTTTACAACAAACTGACATTTCTCGTAAGTGAATAGTTAAGTATCTGTCCAAAAATTTCCTTTGACCTTGTAACTTACAGCTAATATACAGTGTTTTCATTTCTTCCTAACCAAGAAATTTGATATCATCATATAAATTATGCAGAAGAAATGTCTTGTATGGTCAAAGCTGGACAGCCACAAGATTTGAATCCACTTTGACGGAACGCCCCGCCTGGGCATGGAGGGCCCTGTGCTCTGCTCACTCCCAGGATGCCCTCCCTCCACTCATGATTTCATTTTATTTCCTCCATCATTGAGGCACAGCACTTTCTAGTTTTTTCCTTCTGTTGGCCGCTTGAAACCCCACGTTTCTGTGATTTATTAAAATGTTCAGGGGCGCCTGGGTGGCTCAGTCGGTTAAGCGTCCGACTTCAGCTCAGGTCATGATCTCATGGTTCATGGGTTCGAGCCCCATGTCGGGCTCTGTGCTGACAGCTAGTTCAGAGCCTGGAGCCTATTTCAGATTCTGTGTCTTCCCCTCTCTCTGACCCTCCCCTGCTCATGCTCGCTCTCTCTCTCTCTCTCTCTCTCTCTCTCTCTCAGAAATAAATAAAACATTTAAAAAAAATTTTTTAAACGTTCAAATGTCACTCTTTTATTTCAAGCTCATAAATGAACTTTTGGCTGTGTTTATAGAGCAGAACTGATTTTTCATATTTCTGGCCAGGTCAGGCTTTGGTGGGATCCAGTTTGTGGCCATGAGGTCAATTCCTCTCAGCTGGTCATTGCTATTTCCTGAAGTGCCTTGTCCTTTCCCATACCCTCCCCCCCAAACAGCCCTCATCAATGGGCAGATTCTGGAGGAAGGAGAGGGGAAACGCTTCCATCTGTGTGGAAACTCCAGTGTGACTACTTACTTCCACTGTCTTCCTTGTGTGAGGATCTAAGCGGAGGCAGCTAACCCGCCAAGTCATCTGGGTTACATGCTCCCGGTTAGCTGTTACGTGTTGGACAGGATATACTGCTCACTGGGGTGAGTGTGTGTGTGTGTGTGTGTGTGTGTGTGTGTGTAAACTCTGAGGTTAGGGGCTTTTACTTTTACTTTTATTTATTTGTGTTTGTTTGGAAAAAGACTTCACAGTAAATTATACAACAAAGTAGAGAGAGAATAAAGTCATGGAGGGATACCTTCTTTTAAAGTCATTCCCGGGGCACCTGGGTGGCTCAGTCAGTTAAGCATCTGACTCTAGATTTCGGCTCACATCATGATCACGTGGTTTGTGAATTCGATCCCACATCTGTCAGTGCAGAGCCTGTTTGGGATTCTGTCTCCCTCTCTCTCTGCCCCTCCCCCCCATTCTCTCTCTCTCTCTCTCTCTCTTCCTCTCTCTCTCTCTCTCTCCCTTTCCCTCTCCTCCCTCTCTCTCTCTTTCTGTCTCAAAATAAATTTTAAATACTTTGAATAAAAAAAAGGTCACTCCCCATGTCTTGAGCTTTGTGGGGCCAGGCACTGTGCTAAGTGACTTTCACACACAGGATCTCCCCGTGGAGGGGACACCATCATCCCTATTTTCCAGATGAGGAAGCCAAGACTCAGAGAAGACAGGATGCTCCAAGGATGTGCCTGGGATTTGTTTTAACCACGTACGGTAAGGACACACAAACACAGAAGTCGTTGTTGTGAGGGGAGGAGGCACAGAATGCTAGCAGGGCCACATGGGGCAGCACATGGGGCAGTCACAAGGCAGGGGGCTGGAAAGGGGAAAACATGGACCTCAGCCTTTACTGGGGTTTTCGTGGGAAGGGAAGGGAAGGCAGAGAAAACAGTTTAGGATGAGCAAGTTTAAATAATTCTGGCAGGCTCTGGGTTATAGAACTGTTCCTTAGTGTCTGGTATCTGGCTATGTGGTGATATAGGTTGGGGGGAGGATTGGCGTAGCATCTGAGAGCCAAACATTGGTTGCGGCTGAGGTGTGGGCTCTGGATTGGTTGGTTTGTAATCAAAGGCATGCTTGCAGGGCTCGTTTGCTGCCTCTAGGAACGAGCTACCCCTGGAAGGGGCAGTTTCTCCAGGTTCAAATCCCCAAATGTCAGACCATCGGAATGCAGAACATAAGAAAATGTAGTCACTACACAGATGTGTGCAGGTAGTCGGGAGCAAAGCCAGGGTTTGTCCAGGCCCAGTCCTTTGTAGGATTCAACCCTGTGAAATGTGTCTTTCCCCCACCACCCATAGCCAGCTAAACAGGAGCATAGGGTCTGCCTAAAGTGCATGTCCTACTCTCGGGAGCTTATTTTTGTTAGTAAAAGACAGACAGAGGCTCACATACAAGGTTAGGATAAGCCTCCCCCGGAAGTCACCAAAGCTTGGTCGGATGGTATCGTCAATATCTCAGGGACATTTACATTTGCTTGTGATTCATCTTTTCTTTAAAAAAAATTTTTTTTTATTATTGAGGTATAATTGACATATAACATTGTGTCAGCTCCAGATGTGCAAGATAATGATTTTCGCTTTGTATACAATGCTAAATGATCATTGCACATCTAGCCAAAATCCATCACCATACCTAATTATAAAATTTTTTCTTGTGATGAGAATTTTTGAGATTTATTCTCTTAGCAACTTTCAGATACACAATACAGCATTATTAGCTATAGTCGTTATGCTATACATTACATCCTATGACTTGTTTATTTTAGAACTGGAAATTTGTGTCTTTTGACACTCATTCGGCCCACTCTCCACTCCCACCTTTGGCAACTACCAGTCTATTCTCTGTATGTATGAGCTTGGTAGGTTGTTTGTTTTGTTTTCTTTAAATTCTGCATATAAGGGTGCATGGGTGGCTCAATCGGTTAAGTGTCCGACTTTGGCTCAGGTCATGATCTCATGGTTCATGGATTCGAGCCCCACATGGGGCTCTGTGCTGACAGCTAGCTCAGAGCCTGGAGTCTGTTTTGGATTCTGTGTCTCCCTCTCTCTCTGACGCTTCCCTGTTCATGCTCTCTCTCTCTCTCTCTCTGTCTCTCTCTCTCTCTCTCTCAGAAATAAGTAAAACATTTAAAAAAATTTTAAATAAATAAATTCCACATATAAGCAAGACCATGAGGTATTTGTCTTTGTCTGTCTGACTTATTTCACTTAGCACAGTCTACTCTAGCTCCATCCACATTGTTGCAAATGGCAACATTTAGTTTCTTTTTGATGGCTGAGTAATATTCAATTGTATGTATATACCACATCTTTTTTTCCATCCATCCATCCATCCATGGACACTTAGGTTGCTTCCATATCTTGGCTATTGTAAATAAGGCTGCAATTAACATGGGGGTGCCATATCGTTTTGAGTTAGTGTTTTTATTTTCTTGGGATGAATATTCAAAAGTCAAATTGCTGGTAGTTCTGTTTTGGATTTTTTGAAGAACCTCCATACTGTTTTCCACTGTGACTGCATGATTCATCTTTTCCATAAATTAACAATTCACTTCTGCTTTCCTTCCTCAGACCCACCTTGCATCTTTGGGCTGGGGAGAATCTGTGCACACCTGTGAGATTTCTGAGGCTGTCAGAGCTCGAGGTCTTGAGAGGCAGGAAGAACCATCAGCCTCCATGTCCTCTGCGCCATCCTCCACACACACATGGTCCCCCACGGCTGACATGGGGTGTGTGGCAGTTTGTACAGCAAGCAGAAAGCAGGGGAGAGGTGTATGGAAAGAAACAATGAGGGTGGTAGATCTAGATTAGCCTAGACCAGTAGGAACCACATGCACACCACAGAAGTCATTTTAAAAAGCCACCTTAAAAAGATAAAAGGAAACAGGTGAAATTGATTTTACAGGCTTATTCTATGTAACATCCAAAATACTATCGTTTCAACACATAATCATTATAAAAATTATTTATGAGACATTTTAGCTAACCCTTTTTCTTATGAAGTCCTTGAAATCTGTATGTGTTTTATAGCTACGGCCTATCTCAATTTGCACTATCCACATTGTACGTGATCAGATTTCACACTTCATGTGGCTGACGCTTACCATCCTGGACGGCACAGATGTAGATCAGTAAAACCCAGGCCATTTGTTCTCTTGGTTTCTATGGCAGGAAAAGGAGGGATCATCATCCATCTGGACATTAAGGAGGCTGATAGGCGCACTGGAACAGAAATGAGATAGAAGAGCAAACTGTATTAAAGAGGAACAAAGAGCTGACGGGAGCAGCATAGAAAAGGAAATAAGATGTAGAAACACTTCATTCTTTGCATTTGTCTGCAGTGTAAGCCTGGCACCAAGTTTTTTGTGTTTTTTTTTTTTAAGTAAACTCCAAGCCCACCATGGGGGTTGAACTCACAATCCTGCGATCAAGAGTCACATGCTCTATCAACTGAGCCAGCCAGGCGCCCCCACAGTGCCAAGCTCTGAAGACCTATCATCCCATGGAGTTCTTGGAACACAGACTTTGTCATCTGAGGAAACTGAGGCCCAGGGCACAGCTCCAGCTCACAGCTAGGAACCCATGAGGATAGGATTCAAACTCACTCTTCTCTTTTTTTGTTTGTTTGTTTGTTTTTAGTGTTTATTTTTGAAACAGAGAGAAACAGAACATGAGCAGGGGAGGGGCAGAGAGAGAGGGAGACACAGAATCTGAAACAGGCTCCAGGCTCTGAACTTTCGTTACAGAGCCCGATACAAGCCTCGAAATCACGAACCACGAGATCATGACCTGAGCTGAAGTCAGACGCTTAACCGACTGAGCCCCCCAGGCGCCCCTCAAACTCACTCTTATGTGACTGCAGTATAGCCCCTAAAAATTCAGTAATGTTCCACGAACATCAATTATGTTTGGGCCAAGGTGGAAAATTTTCTACTGGAAAGATTTATGCTTAAGTTAACATGAACCCAAAAGCCATTTGCTCTGCGTAATTTTCATCCCAATATCAACTGGAAAAATTAGGTAGGATGACCTCCTCATTATAACAAGAGGCCAGCAAGGCATCACTCATAGGCAACTGTGGGCATCTCTTTAGATAAAAGTCCCCTTTTTATTCTTCAGAATGGAAATATCTATATTATTTTGTTTTAAGGAAGCATGCATTCATTATACAATGTCCAAAGACATAAAAAGAAGAGCCTCTGTACTTCTTCTCCCCTCTGTAAGAATAACTATAGATGGTTGTGCATAATTAGAATAAAAATAATTCACATGTGTACCTGCCTTTGTCACTATGCATCACCTCTCAGATCTGTGTTTCCATGGCAACAGCCTTCCCAAGCAGTTTATCCTTTTTTTCCCTAAGGTTTGTAGAGTGTTCCATCAATGAATGGACCCCAGCAGAACAATTCCCCTTTGACAAGCATGCAGGTTGTTTTCAGTGTCATGATATATAAACAACGCTGCAATGAGCATTTCCCAAATATCCACACATCTCCATGTTTCCCAAAGTATTTCATCAGGACAAATTTTTACAGCAGGGTTTAAAACACCAGTGTCACCATGCATGGTATGCTGGGCCACACACAATGAGGGTAAAAAATGCACTTCACAGGGGCGCCTGGCTGGCTCAGTCGGTTAAGCATCCGACTTTGGCTCAAGTCATGATCTCGCCTTTCATGAGTTCGAGCCCCATGTCAGGCTCTGTGCTGACAGCTCAGAGCCTGGAGGCCACTTCAAATTCTGTGTCTCCCGAGGCGCCTGGGTGGCTTAGTCGGTTAAGCGTCCGACTTTCGCTTAGGTCATGATCTCGCAGTTTGTGGGTTCGAGCCCCGCGTCGGGCTATGTGCTGACTGCCAGCTCAGAGCCTGGAGCCTGTTTCAGTCTGTGACTCCCTCTCTCCCTGACTCTCCCCTGCTCACGCTGTCTCTCTCTCTCCTAGAAATAAATAAAAAATTTAAAAAAAAATTCTGTGTCTCCCTCTCTCTCTACCCATCCCCCGCTCATGTTCTGTCTCTCGAAAATGAATAAACATTTTTAAAAATTTTTAAAAATCCACATCACAGTAATGATACAACCTGCATTTTTGGCTTTTGTCTGTGACCACCATTGGGCCCCACCCCCACCCCAGGCCTCGTTGAAGTGCCCCACTTGACTCTACACCTGGAGAGTATGACATGGACTTATAGGCCATCCTGAAGCTTCTTCCAAATTCTTCTCACCTTCCCTATGCCCATCTTATGAGATGTCAACAGCCCAGGATCCCATGCTGATGACCCAACTCCCATCAAGGTACTGCAAGCCTCTGAGCTGATGGAGGAATGGCAGAGTCATTCCCCAGATCTGTCACATACAGTCCAAGCTCAGCACTTCTCTGGATCCTGCGGTCCCTGTTCCTATACCAGAGCATAGGCAAGGCTGGGAGTTTCCAGAACCCTTGCTCTAGGGCACTATTTATTATTCTAGACTGGACTGAAAAGTCTTCTGGCTCTTATCTTTGGATGGGTTCTCTCCTAGGGGGCTCCTCAGGCTCCAGACCACTAGACTTCTGGCTCAGGTGCTTATAGGCTCTGGAAATGCCAAACCCATCAAAATTCTGAAGTGAGGGGGCTTAGGTTCTTGCTGTGTCTCCACCCCAGGCTGTTGATCCTCAATGTCTTGGGAGGCCACTCGGGGATTTTGTGGGAGGACTATTATGGTGCCCCCCTCCCATAAAGGAGACTGATGAGGTTGGGAAGACTGGAGGAGACAACTCAGAGTGGGGTTCACGTGCACTTAAGAATGTTGGAGTATCAGAGCTGGAGGGGACTGGAGTGCGTGTATTAGTCAGTGTTGCTGCAGTAACAAGCATCCCTGAATTCTCAGGGACTACAACAGCAAAAACATCTTCCTCACTATGTAATGGGGTCCACTGTGCTGTGGTGGCCCTGTTCCACCCATCTCTTCACTCCAGGATACCAGCTCTAGAAGCAGCACTGTCCTGCTTGGAAGGGAGGGAAAAGAGCAGGAGAGGTGGTGGGAGCTTTGCCACGGCTTCCTAGACAGAGCTTTTCCTCACACATGACTTAAGTCCATGCACTCATGTTCCGTTGGCCAAAGCAAACCCCACAGAGAAGCCCCAAGCAATGGGGCAGGGGCGTCTACTACCTTCACAGGGAGGAGAGAGTGAATAATTGTGAACACCAACTCTAGGTACCACACACGGCACATCTGTGATACACCTGGAGAAACTGAGACCCGGTGAGGGAAAGTGGCTTGACCAAGGGCCATACACCAGAACAAAGACTAGCCCCAGATCTCTTGGCAACCAACCCAGTGCTCTTAATCCTTCCCCCGGGCTTCCCAAAATGTGTTCCAAGAGATATTATTGAGGATCTGTGTTATAGGACACCTCAGAGCCTCTGATGATGCCACTGAGATTTATGGCTTTGCACACCGAGGAAGTGGGCTCCGGCCTTTTCCAACCTCTTTGACCACAAAAGCCACAGAACCAGCTAAGGAACAGCCTGTGGCGCTGGCCCTCCTGGGAACACACTTTGGGAAACCGAGCGGCACAACACCAGCCAATCACATAGACTCTAACTCACCATTGGGAACGTGAAACTTGAAGTTTTATGTTGCTATAAGGAATGTTTTAAAATAACACAACCTTCATATAAATTCTTTGCAGCTTAGAAATAGACACAGCTTTCATTTTTAGAAAGTTCACATTACTTTGTGAGGCCATCATTAATTTTGATTATTTTTTCCATTTCCATTTCTTTTTCAGTTGCAGCCGAAAATGCTATAAATGCAATGAAACAGATATTCATAAAGTCTTGGGTGCATGAATCATGGGGATCTGGAAAGTGTGCTTGCCTCTCTGCTGTGAGCCTTTTCCTCTTTTTTCCTTTGACAAAGACAACAAATGTTACATATCATGTCTCCACCATAAAAATATGTTTTAACACAACAAAAACCTATGCTCTGGTATGATCACGGCAACACATCATGTCGTGCTCAAGATGTCTCAAAGGATCACATGTGGCCTCTGCTTGGGGCCATGGAGCTATCGGAAAAAGGCTACAAAGATTAAATCATCTCTGATCGTTAGGGTATTTTTTTCTACGACGATTCTTTTGATCCGTAACATATGTTAAATTAAAATACGCTTTATACAGGTTTTTACCCCAAACCCTTCAAAAAGTAAGATTCTATTCAAATGGCTCAAAAATAAAACTGTGAACCTACTCCAGTCACCCTTTACCAGAATTTTCTGACATGCTGGAATAGATCATAAGCAGGCGAGGAGGGGTAGTGCCTTCTCCAGGGCTCTCAGGCAGGCAGCCCCCCAGATGACCAGCTCCTGGGTTGGAAAGGGCTGAGTCCTCTCGGGACTGTGCCTCCACGTCACTGCACAGACCCCGGGGAAAGGCTCCCTGCACCGGGTGGTGCAGAGCAGTCCTTTATAGCTCCCTACAATTCCCATCTTTTGCAGAAGGGTGAAATGAGCCAAATCCCTCTTTTCGATGATCATCCCTTCAAATATTTCAAAACCGGTCCCTTCTCCCAATCCTTCTCTCAAACACTTGCTGCTCCTGGGCTGACCTGGCATGGATGTTTCTGAGGCCCTTCAGCTGCCGGAGATGGATCTCGGCCTAAAGAAGCCCAATGGGTCTGTAATACCAATACCAGCAGCTGCCGCCCAGGAGTGGGGACGAGTGGAGGGCAGGTGATGTCAGAGCCTCATGTGGCTGGAGGATGTTGTCTCCTTTGTTACATCATGTGTCATCACAACTGCGTCCCCACATCACCATGATGTGGGCTTTCCTTTTTTTAAATGTTTTTTGATGTTTATTTATTTTTGAGAGAGAGAGAGAGACAGAGCACGTGAGTGGGGGAGGGGCAGAGAGAGAGACACAGAGAATCCCAAGCAGGCTCCATGCTGTGAGTGCAGAGCCCAATGCAGGGCTCGATCTCACAAACTGTGAGATCATGACCTGAGGTGAAATCAAGAGTCAGATGCTTATCTGAATGAGGCACCCAGGTGCCCCCATGATGTGATCTCTCTACCCAGGGCCACACACTAAGAATTTGGGCCTATTTGTTGCTGCAGTTACCCTGATTAATAGACCACCAGTGTGTGTGTGTGTGTGTGTGTGTGTGTATGCAGGTGCGCGTGTGTGTTAAATATTATGTATTATATTTTATATACACATGTCACACAAGTCACATTCATAGATTTGCATAATACTATTACCGTTCCAGGATGAAGTGGTTTGTCATTTTTATTAGTTGTCTACACTAAATCCAAGATTTTAGGTTGTTTTCCAGACAGCATTGAAAATATGCTTAAAATTTAAATCTTTTAGATATGGTGTCAGAAGGAAAGCTTAGCCACATTCCTGTTTGACCAGATCGCAGACTCCTGCAGATGACACAGGGGTGTCTTTCCTCCTCAGTGTCGCCTTCATATCCCTTCCAGCGCTGCTTCTGTGACAGGTTGAGAGAAAGAATAAAAAGAGGTTGGAGAAGAGAGTCGATCCGCCCTCCCTGGGCTCTGCCTGGGTAGGTTCTGGGGAGCCTGGAGAGTTTTATTCTGTGAGCCCAGAGGCCTGCCATTCCCACCTCCACACCTGAGTGACCTGGGGGCCTTTGCTCACCGCTGGGGTCTGTCCACCTCCTGGCCTTGTAGAGAAACAGTGAGCATTGTTTGGGGGAGGAAGAGAACATTTTAATGAGTGCGCACACACCCTCAGCCTCCTGTGCTCAGTTTCATCCTTGAGAGCGATACGCAGTTGTGCTGGGGACCCACGGAGCCCACACACCTCAGGCCAGGCTCCCTCCCCCACCCGTGCCCCCACCGCTGTAGGCACCGCCAGCAGATCCCAGGTGCACCATCCTCCTGAAATCGGGCTCCACTGGGCAGGACAGCAGGGTGTGTTGAAGGCAGCGAGCATAAGCCCCTTGCTTTTTCTCACTGCTGGAAGGGAATCAGCCACAGTCAACCAGCCACTTAACTCACTTGCTGGAAATCACAAAATGCTGAAATACTTTTCGGATCATCATCATGCGTGCAGCTTTGTCAGGAGAACCCTGAACCGCCTCTAAGCACGAGTGAATGTTGCAGCTCTTATAAAACTCAACCTCCTGCAGATGCCTGTTTAGTGTGTGTTAGAAAGTCAGGCTCGACTCTGAGGATAATGCAACCCACATGTGGAACTGCTTGCTTCACTTACTTACAGAAATATCTCAGGTAGCAAGTATTTTCTTACTGCCCTGTTAGAAAAATACTCACTGAGCACACACTGTTTGCTTTATGCCCCCTTTGCTGTTACCAAAACAGAGTGGATGTGCTGGGTGGGAGGAGGGTTTGTGACACCCTGGGCATCGCCTTGGAATGGGTGGGAGGCGGCTCAAGGTCAATAACCGATAACCCTGCCAGCATCCACTTGGACCAGCCCAGGATGAAGCTTCTGAGGTAATAACACACATGTGTGTGGGGAGGTTCTGAAGCTTCACTCCTGAGGAATGCTTTGTGCAGCTCAGGACACCCCCACCATCTCCCCGGCCACGCCACCGTCTTGGGTCCCCAGTGGATTTATGCCCCATCCCTCCGTGGCACTTGCGTATGAGGAAAGCGCCGATCTGGACCCCATTAGTTAGGCCCTGAAAGATGTGCTCCAGTATGTTCGTGTTTATGGTTATGCCCTTAGATTTAATTGAGGTCATTACAAGAAGCAGCTGGATGAAGATTGCTTCTGCATTTGGGCTAAAATCATTGTCAAGGGCAGGCTTCATTTTGCTACCCAGAATCCCAGGGGAAGACCCAAAAAAATTTTTTAAGGATATAGTGCCATGCACAGGGGCAAGGGGAAACCCTTTCAAGATTGCTGGCTCCTCTCTTCCTAATAATGAATGTTATGCAGGCCAGTGACTGCTAGGAAGTTTAGAGCCAAACTCAAGGAGAAGTCACAGTAATGACTTGGGCTTTGTTCCCTCTATCTGCTTCCTCCTCCTTTGCATGGTCTTGGCTTTTCTGTCTCATTAACATTGCCATATATATGGTTTGTTTCCAAGCCTTTTGGGAAAGAGAGGGAATATAAATAACTACTGCTAGATCTAGATACCTCCATAAACAAAGCTCTTTTGGAGCATGACAGTTTATTACTATCTCTTTGCAGTGCTCACAATGTTTTCTTGCTTAGAGTTCTTGAAGGTTTAAAATATACCGGATTTTTTCTTTATTGAACTCCTTTGTGTGGTATAGAAAATATAGACAGTAATTTCTTTTTTTTATTTTTTATTGCAGTGTAATTGACCTATAATGTTATGTTAGTTTCAGATGCACCACATGGTGATTTGACAATTCTATGCCTTCAGCTATGCTCACCGTAATAGGTGTTCCTATCTGTCACCATACAGAGTTATTACAATGTTATTGACAGTATTCCCCATGCTGTACTTTTCATCCCTGTGACTTATTTATTTTAGAACTGAAAGTTTAGACCTTTTAATCCCCTTCACCTATTTTATTCATCCCCCCCAACCCCTCACCTCTGAAAACCACCAATTTATTCTTTGTGTTTGTGATGCTGTGTCTGTTTTTGTTTGTTTGCTCATTTGTTTTGTTTTTTAGATTCCAATGTAAGTGAAATCCTATGGTATTTGTCTTTCCCTGATTTATTTCCCTTAGTGAAATACCCTCTAGGTCCATCCATGTTGTCACAAATGGAAGATCCCATTCTTTTTTATGACTAATATGCCACAATGAATATACCACATCTTCTTTATCCATTTATCCATCTACTGATGGACACTTAGTTGACTTCCATATCTTGGCTATTAAGTAAATAATGCTGCAATAAATATAAACATGCATATATCTTTTTGAATGTTTTCATTTTCTTTGGTAAATACACAGTAGTGGAAATATTGGGTTGTATATTTCTATTTTTAACTTTTTCGGGAATCTCCATAATATTTTCCACAGTGGCTACACCAATTTACATTCCCACTGACAGTGCTCAAGGATTCCCTTTTCTCAACATCCTTGCCAACACTTGTTACTTCTTATCTTTTTGATATTAGCTATTCATATAGGCATATGGTGATATCTCATTGTGATTTCGACTTGCATTTCTCTGATGATTAGTGAGCATCTTTTCCTGCGTTTGTTGGCCAACAGTATTTCTTCCTTGCAAAAATCTGCCCATTTTAAAATCAAATTATTTGTTTTATTGATGTTGGGTTGTATAAGTTCTTTACATATTTTGGTATTAACCCCTTATTGGATATATCATTTGTAAATATCTTCTCCCATTCAAGTAGGTTGTCTTTTTGTTTTGTTGATGGTTTCCTTTGCTATGCAAAAGTTTTTAGTTTGATATAGTCCTAACAGTTAATTTTTGCTTTTGTTTCCCTCACCTAAAGAGACCCGTCCAGAAAAATGTTGCTAAGGCCAATGTCTAAGAGATTACTGCCTACGTTTTCTTTAAGGAGTTGTATTGATTTAGGTCTCACATTTAGGTCTTTAATCCATTTTGAGTTTATTTTTGTGTATGGTGTAAGAAAGTGGTCCAGTTTCATTCTTTTGCATGTAGCTGTCCAGTTTTCCCAGCACCATTTATTAAAGAGATGGTCTTCCCCATTGTAAATTTTTTACTGCTTTGTTTTAGATTAATTGACCATGTAAATGAATTTATTTCTGGGCTCTCTGTTCTGTTTAATAGATCTAGGTGTCTATTTTTGAGTCAGTACCATGCTCTTTTGATTACTATAGCTTTGTAGTATAAGCTTAAAATCTGGGGTTGTGATACCTCACTCCAGCTTTGTTCTTTTTTCTCAAAATCTCTTTTGCTATTTCAGGTCTTTTGTGATTCCATACAAATTTTAGAATTATTTGTTCTAATTCAATGAAAACCATTATTGGTATTTTGATAGGGATTGCAGTGAATCTGTAGATTGCTTTAGTTAGTATGGGCATTTTGGGGACCTCATCAAGATTAAAAGCTTCTGCACAGCAAAGGAAACAACCCACAAAACTAATAGGCAACCAACAGAATGGGAAAAGATAGTTGCAAATGACATATCAGATAAAGGGTTAATATCCAAAATCTATAAGGAACTCACCAAACTCCACACCCGAAAAACAAACAACCCAGTGAAGAAATGGGCAGAAGACATGAACAGACACTTCTCCAAAGAGGACATCCAGATGGCCAACAGACACATGAAATGATGCTCAGCATCCCTCCTCATCAGGGAAATACAAATCAAAACCACACTGAGATACCACCTCACACCAGTCAGAGTGGCTAAAATGAGCAAATCAGAGAACTCTAGATGCTGGCGAGGATGTGGAGAAACGGGCACCCTCCTACACTGTTGGTGGGAATGTAAACTGGTACAGCCCCTCTAGAAAACAGTGTGGAGGTTCCTCAGGAAACTAACACTAGAACTCCCCTAGGACCCAGCAATAGCACTGCTAGGAATTTACCCAAGGGATACAGAAATGCTGAGGCATAGGAGCACATGGACCCCAATGTTCATAGCAGCACTCTCAACAATAGCTAAAATATGGAAAGAGCCTAAGTGTCCATCAATGGACGAATGGATCAAGAAGATGTGGTTTATCTATACCATGGAATACTACATGGCAATGAGAAACAATGAAATCTGGCCATGTGTAGCAACATGGATGGACCTTGAGGGTGTGATGCTGAGCGAAATAA